TGATAACCATTCCTTTGTATATAGTCTTGTATTAGTTTAAAACCTTCTTATTTAGACAAAAAGGGGGAGATGTAGTGGGTAGCCATTCCAGCTTGGATCTGGAAGTTCCAACCCCCATTGAGACTCTGGCAACTGTCACACCTATGAGGCGGGGCCAGGGGAGGCGCCTGGAGACCTGAGAGCTGGATGGGCCAGTGCTTGCTCTGTGTGCTCTCTCTGTGCCGGGACACTGAACATTGGAGGTGGACTGTGCAGAGCTCCAGAGAACACTGCTGGACTGCGATACACCTTTCCCAGACCCCGCGACCTACCTTTCACTTAATTTGTGAGTTACGCCATTAAATAAATATCCTTTTAACTACGTGAAGTGGCCAAAATAATTTCTCCAATAGTTTTCTTTAAGGGATTTATTGTTTTCTTCTGCTTTATTTGTCTTTTCCTCTAGTTTCAAAGATACCTCCACAATAGACTACTGGCAATGGTCGAGAGAAAGCCTGAACTCTGGTGATAAGATGGCCAAACACCCTAACTATCATGGTAGAACTCTCATCCAATGACTGATAGAAGTGGATGCAGAGATCCCGACCAGGCCCCAGGTGGACCTCCGGGAGTCCAACCGGCTAGAAAGAGGAGGTATTGTACAAGCGAGAGATGTTGAAACCATGATTGGAAAAATCATAGGGAAAAATAGCCATCTAGTGGAAACACATGAACTATGAACCAATAGCTGAGGAGCCCCCAACTGGATCAGGCCCTCTGGATAAGTGAGACAGTCAATTAGCTTGAACTGTTTGGGAGGCTCCCAGGCAGTAGGACCAGGACCTATCCTTGGTGCATGAGCTGGCTTTTTGGAGCCTGGAGCCTATGTTGGGATGCTTTGCTCAGCCTGGGTGAAAGGAGGAGGGGACTGGACCTGCCTGGACTGAATCTACCAGGCTGAGCTGAATCCCCAGGGGAGTCCTTGCCCTGGAGGACATGGGAATGGGGGGTGATTTGGGGGGAGGGGGTATGGGAGGAGGAAGGACAGGGGAATCCATTGCTGATATGTAAAATTAAATTAAATTATAAAAGAAAAAATAATGATAAAAAGAAAGAAAGAGAGAGAGAGAGAGAGAGAGAGAGAGAAAGAAAGAAAGAAAGAAAGAAAGAAAGAAAGAAAGAAAGAAAGAAAGAAAGAAAGAAAGGAAGAAAGAAAGAAAGAAACTGACAGAGAGCATGAGCTAGGTCATCTGCATATACATGTGGTTGTTTAGCTTGGGTTTTTGTGAGAATCCTAACAGTGGGAACGGGAGTGTCTCTTACTTCTTTGTCTGTTCTTGGGACCACTTTCCACCTACTGGTTTGTCTTCTTCAGCTATGATATGAGTTTATGCCTAGTCTTATTGCATCTTGGAGGGCTGCTTTTTTTCTGAAGGTAAATGGAGGAGCAGTGGATCTGGGGGAAAGGGGAAGTCAGTGGAGCAGGGGGGATGGGACTGGAAGGAATGAAGGGAAGTGAGGCCGCCTTCAGAATGTGTTATATGAGATAAAAATAAATAAAAATATGTGTATGATATAACAGTAATAACTAGATCAAATGATACTGAAGCCATTATGTATTAAATTCCTTTAGCTTGCAGCATAGTTTTATTATTTGAAATAGTTCTGAAATATTAAAAAATTTACCCGCAGCTACGTACATACATATGCACAAACACACACACATACACATACATGCACAAACAGAAACCTATCACTGGTTGAAAACTTATAGCAAAAAATGCTTAAAGAAAAGAAATAGTATTTTGAAAATCAATTTGATGATAGATTTGGTTGTAGTAATACACCTTTAGGGCATAACACCTTCATATAAAAATGAGAAAATAACATAATTATTCTTATATTCCAAATTAATCATTGAGCGAAAGTATCTTTCCAACAGATGGTAAAAGCACAAAAGCATAGTGAGGAGTGAATGCAGAGTATGGGTGGAGCATGGAGGCTCAGTGTGATGGTAAGAGGCAGGGGTCCAAGAGAGGAAACAGCAGAAAGAATTCCCAGGGCAGCTATTGCTCAGGGGTCTTCAGAACACAGATGATCTTTTGTGGATTTAGCACTATGGACCAGAGAAAGTTGTACTGTAAAGCTTCATTCTTTCTACAAAAAAAAAACCAACAGAAATTATACACAAAGCAAAAAATATAAATATTATATATAGTAACTGAAGTGGTTTTTAAATATATTAAACTATTGCTTAATAATTAAAAATAACCTGTTAGAGAAAACAGTGAAATTGAAAAAAAAAATAGATGTAGTGCCACCAGCATAAGATTTCAAAAGACACATATGACAATAAATTCTATAAATTATTTGGATAAATCTTTAAAATACTATTGCAGAACTGAAAATGATTGAATAAATAGGATAACACGCTGACTTTGTATGTAATAGAAATGAAAATGACAATGATGATGATTAAATGATGGAATTATCATTCAGAGGTCTGTATGGGATTGATAGATACAGGAGGATCTATGTTCAGAAAGTCCAGTAGCTAATGGGAAATCCAATTTTACTCTATATTAAATGTACATTGAAATGTGTGTTAAAGCTAAAGCAACTGAATCAATACACAGCATGCTAATGGAAGGATAGGAATGCAGGTTTGAGAAAATAGTATAATGTATTGGAAAATGTATTCCAATAAGAGTAAGCAAATAGAAAGCATCACTTTCAAATCACTGTGAAAAGTAGACTCTTGGATGAATGATACCAAGTTAACTAGTCTACATTTATGAAAAAAGAAAGGAAGAAAGTTGAAGAAAACATGTAATTTAATATGAAATATTTCATTTGAAAATGAAAATATGTATTACATAGAAACAATGTTATAAGCAAATAGATTACAAGGAAAAAGAAGTGAAATGTTTGCCAATATGTGATACTGTCAAAAAGTTACTTTGCATTTCATACAAATAAAGAAATGCTATATCTCAGGAAAAATGGGTAAAGAATAGAAACAAGTGAAGTACAGAAAAGCAATAAAATGGCTAGCAAGCAAATGAAAGATGATACTGCAAATAAAAGCCCACTGGAAAGTGAAGACCAAAAGCAGGAAAGTGGGCTGCCTTGGAACTCACTTTTTGGCCAGGTTGGCCTTGAAGACACAAAGATTTATCTGTCTCTGTATCAAGGTTGTTCGAAGGTCAGCTCCTTAGACCTCTTCAGGGTTCAGATCAGACACTACAGGAAGTGAAAGGAACTAGGGTATCTGAAGGCAAAAATGAATTTGCTCACATGTGTCTTATTCAAATCATGTCTCTTTATTATTCTGCCTTTTTCTAATTTCCTTGTCCTGATTGTCTATAATTTCTTAGCTCTAATTCTGTGTTCTAATCCTCCTGCTTCTCCTCATCTAGCCCAATAATAACTCTTTTTTACAGGAGGCTTGAAGCAATAATAAAAGTTACAAGAGTTATCTCTCATTGGTCAAAAACACATTTCTAGAGTAGACGATAAGGACAGAGCCATTTACCATGGCAACACAAGGTTTCAAGGTCTTAGGACCAGAAGGAGGGGTGCAGTGCCCAGTGTGACAAACAGACATAGGTCTTCATCAGCAGACTTGGCAAGCAAAGAACTGGTATGCTTTTCTTAAAGTGCTTTATGTGGTTAGACATCTGCAACTCTAACCTTGTGCATAATTGTAAAGTTTTAAACTTATGATAGTTTGAACTTGCTCTGAGGTGAAATGAACTAAATATGTGGAGTCAGTCTGAGCAAAAGGAACAAAGCAGGCTTTTAAGGGTCTACTTTCCTTGTGAGGTAATAGATCTAGTTATGAAACATATCTTACTATATTTTCTATATGTCAATTTTATACAGCTAAATGAGAAGTCATCTTTCTAATGATCCAAGGACATGAGTGCCCAATAACACACCAGCAGTGGGGAAACACCCATAGCTGTTCTTAGGGAAGAAATGAAATGGCATCTGAGAGAAATTACAGACAGGAGCAACTGGTCATTATCAGTCAGTAACTCTATGTTCTTGCCAGGTGGGGCTCCCCATCAGAGAATCTGGTGGGTTGATCTGCTGAGCACTCATTGTCACCTGCTGTATATCCACAGTCTCTTGCTACCAGCAGCTCTCAATACCTCTGCTTCCCAAGTACTGGTGTTAAAGGCACGTTCCACCACATCTGGCTCTGCTTCTTATGAGCATATTAAGGAATGTCTACTTTTGATTCAGTAACTTGCATCTACATTGGGACCTTGGCCACAGACCTGCTATGATACAATGAGGACACAGGAAGGCAGACAGCGCAAGAGGTATCAATATGTGAGGGGCAGAGAAAGGTATGCATTTGAATATAACCCACTGCTTCTGAAATATTCTTAGTTTCCATACAAGTCAACTAAATCCTGTAGAAATCTACCAATAGTGACACAATAACTCTACCTCTTCAAATTGTTGTAATACATAATTTGTAACTTGATAATGTGTTGACAAATTAAAACTTCACATAGAATTAACATACACAGCAATTTCACTTTTAAGTATCTATGAGAAGAATTAGATATCTACACATCAGAGAGACATCTGGACCACCATGTTAATTTTAGCATTATTCTCAATAACCAAGACAATGGAATCAACCTATATGTCTAATGATCAATAAGTAGATTGAGAATATATGCTACACATGTACATGCAAAAGGAAATTCTGTTATTTATAACAGCATACTTAAGCTTTAAAGGGAAATATTATACATTATTTAGTTCTAAAATTCATTGTTTCAATAAATTTCCTTCAATGAATTAGCATTTGATGAACTGCCTAAACAATGGAATTTTATGGGCAACAATTATTATAGTTTGAAGTAATAAAATAGATGATAATGTCTTAAAATTTATGTATGCAGTGAAATCATGGAAAACATGATACTGTTCTGCCTGTGTAGAGTTAGATGAGACTTTCAAATAATAATAGGGTTGCTTAAGAAGCCAGAGAATTTAGCTCTAAATCATGTGTATAAAATCTGTAAGTATATTAATCAGATAAGAGTTAATTAAATTTGCATTTACATATAACAGGGAAATTTGTACTTTCTTTCTCTTGGGTTCTTGGTAAGGTGTCCCTTCCCTGATATTAAGACTACTAAAACCCCCAACCATCCAGAATAAAGGTTACAAATCACAGGGCTTCCTGAACGAGAGTGTATCAGGACATGAATCTTTGGGGCACACCCACCTTTAAGCTACAGAGAGGAAAAAAATTTCAAGGAAACATGAGGAAAATGCCTATAAGTAGAATTTTAGACCAGGAAAAATGTGTTGTACACACACTTTTTTTCCTTTCAAAGAGATAAGTAAGTTCTTTGTCAATATGTTAATTTAACAAATTCAGGAGGATATAGATGTACATATTTATATATATGTAGAAAGATATGCATGTACAGTACATATAGGTGGCAATATTAGGACTAGGTCATAAATTTGAGGATAATTGAGGCAAACAAGAGGAATTGCAAGGGGTAGGGAGAAGTGGAAATGATATAAATACACTACTGATATAAGAAATTCTCAAAAAATTAAGGTAACACTTTTAAGTAGTTTTTTAAATTTTGAAATGATAAAAGTTAAATCATTTTCCAAGTCTTTTTCTTTCCACAAAGCCCTCCTATGTACCTCATCTTTCAAATTCAGATAAAGAGAGAAAAGAGAGAGAAAGAGAGAGAGGTGGCTTTTTAGTATTGGTGTACTGTTCCCTGAGAAAGACTTTTTCTCTTGCTCTATAAATGTTTAGTTTTTTTATGCTTCTTTGTCAAGGGTGGAGGCTTTAGTAACTCTCCCTTTTCCACATTAGCAAGTCTATTGGTGTTGCTCTTTTCGGGGTCATGATTCAGCAGCCATGTTAGTGAGACTTTATGGGCATAGTTTCTATGACATTTCTAGGAAGCACAATCCCATAGCCAATTTTCTATTCCTCTGGAATTTAGAATGTTTCTACATCCTCAGTGATCACTGAGCTTTGGTTACAGAAGTTGTTTTGTAGATATATCAGTTGGTAATGGGCTTTACAACTCTCCATTTTGATTAGGTGTGGTTTTCTATAGTGGTCACCATCTGTTGCAGGAAGAAATTTCATTGATGATGGGTATAGGGACAAATATTTAGAATTCAGTCAGGGTTTATGTTGGTTTAGTAAAGTGATTGTTGGAGGTTTCCTTTAGGATACATGATTTAACTAACACTGAGTAGTTGGGTATGTTTGCAGTACCAGGCATGATTTCCCTCTTGTTCAACAAGCTCTAAGTCCAATTAGAGAGCTGTTGGTTATTGCCATGTTTTGCATACCACCATTGCACTCTTAGGGTTATGTAATATCATCTTAGTCATTGTTCTGGTTCATAAGCATCCTGGCTGGATAGGACTGTTGGTAGTCCTTCATTTGGAAGATTTTATGACACTTTATGGGAGCATGAAAGCAAGTCTTCAGTGAGAAACTTTTAGGTCAGATGTTTAAAATCTAAAACTGATCTGCTATGGTTTTATTAGGAAACAATATAGCCATTGACTTGAGGTAGTATGTACAGTATTGGTCAATATATGCATTCTTCCATTCTTTCTCATTTTTTGCTGTTGTTATTGTTATAATCCCGGATGAAGAAGAAAGAAAACTAAGGTAAATATCATCACTCAAATAAATGAAGCCTAGAAGATATTTTTTAAAAAGGGATAAACAAACAGAACTCATTTCCCTCAACAGTTTCTCCACTCCTCTAGCCTTAAGATAAGAATAAAAGGAAATATTTGAACAGGCCTTGAAATTTAGTTTAGATCAGCCTAGAATTTTATCTATATCTGCATCTATATCTATAAACATATATGCATATTTGTTCTTGGGCTTGGTTGGGACAATAAAGCTCCAGGGTTGATCTATTCTATTTATGGGCTTAAAAGAAGAATGTATTGGAAAGGAAAGAAAATGATTACTGATTATCACTACAATGTCTAGACACCTCAGTGCTATACACACCCTCAGTTATAAAATGAATTTCAGAGAGAAGATATACAATAGTTTTGCTATTAATTTTGCATAAATCTCTTCATTAACTAGTTTTATAGTTATTTTCTTAAGTTATAGTATTTAAAATAAAATAACTTCAGATACAGATGTAGGTTGCAGGAAAGTAAAGAGACTATTTTCAGCATGGAACAGAGAAACTCACGCATCTATTGAATGTGAGATTTAAGGAGAATCAATAACTCACTTTAAATGGGAAATGAGTAATTCAGCATTTAAAATTGCAACATTCTCCATATATTCCTTGGTGGTATTGACGTGGGTGTGAATTGGGGTGATGCTACCCACCGCCAAGTGGATAATAATTTGAGTCACTAGTTTAAGTAACAAAATGATTGGTAAATCTAGAGGACCTTACTATGGTGAGATGGAATTCCAAATAGAAAGGTTATGTTTATGTGTTCATGTATTTGTGCATGTGTGTGGCTGTGTACTCTAACGCATTTCACTCCACTCACATGACATTTTATCTGACTTTCCAGGATGTAATTGGATGCTGTGTACTCATCCATCCATCTAAACATTTTGATGACATCCTGTGGATTATTAGCAGATAAGTGTCTTAGACTAAATCATTAATCATATGGTGTTGAAAAAAACTGCAAAAGAAACATGAGATGTTTTTAAGAGCTGTAGATAAAGGAAATTTCATCTAAAAGGAGGTTCATATGTAATACCCATGATGGTGAAGAGTATGTGGCTGACTTCCAAAGACATTGCCTGCCTCTGCGGAAAATGTTCTCTTCCAAATAGATTGAGTTGGTACAGAACAAAGGTGTTTTATTCATCTACCCTTCATGTACACATTATAGTCATTACCCTTGATTTGTTTGCTTTCCCAAAAGTCAAATTCCTAACCTTTGAAGATTCTTAAATTTCTAAACTTGGGAATATCATTTTATAGTGTGAATTGTGCCATAAGTCATTTTTTTTGTGGTCAATGCCTGAGTTCTCTATTTGCTAACTGTTACAGAAAGAATGAAATCTTCTAAATGGTTTTGTGAGAACTACTTAGTAATGCTTGAGTTGAATGGTTCCCCAAGAGGCTGAGCACTATGCCTGTGTACAGAGATGAGACATATTGCTTCTGAATGTGCCTTGATCTGCAAGCTGAAGGAACAGAACACCTTTACGCAGCTGGAGCTTCTGAGAACAGGTGAGGGTTGTGCATGAACACATGGGCTGTGTCCATTCTGTGGTTTGGTAGGAGTCCACCTATGCTATTATGAAAATAGCAGCAGTGAATACAGAGCAGATCACCATCATACAAACTGAGTGTTTTCTATAAAACTCCCTCTGAGTCTTGTGTTATTTGAAGAATGTTCATGACTTGCATCATTCATATCCATGCTGGATCCTATGGTGTATGTTTCATCCCCAGAGTTATGATCTCTGTTACTTAGATGCATTTCATTTTCACAATTTGGTTGATATATCCATCAAAAAATGGACTAACATTGCGTAGTAGTTAATGTATATTAACTTTGAGGACTGCTCAGTTTTCAATTATGATAATAAAGATGTTTATTTTGATAATATAATATCTTATCAAATAAAAACATCTTACAATCTTTAACCAAAGAATAAGTCTATTGAAAGATCAAAGAAAGGATTTTTAGACCCTTAATGTCTAAATATTTTAATTGAAATTTTCTCAAATGTGGTTCTCAGTTTAATGAGGCACTATATGGAAACATTGCTTCCAGTAAATGGCCATTTCTAAATATCATGACATTAAACCTGAATGTTCTGTGACAACTTTAAAATATATTGCATACACAAATTGAGGTAATGATCAGTAGGTATTTTGTACTAATAGACTCATTATATTGATACATGGTGTGGTAGGACATGTATGCCAGCTCTCCAATCTTTTTGAGTGCTAAACATTAAAACCTGAAAGTTCATGTAGATAATAGATAAATACATTGAAATAGAAAATTGTTAAAATCTTGTTTATTTCCTATGTCAAATTTTTCATATTAGTATATTCAAATTCAGACTTGAATTAAAAATCAAATCAATGTTTTGTGGGTGTAAATATGAGTCAGAGTTCGAAGTTTAGGATGGCCCCATAACTTTCAGATTCCCAAATGATCATTTCAGTACTCACTATAGCTCCTATACCACTGAAGTACTGTGAGAAATAAATATTGAAAAGACTTGGGAATGACCTCACTAACAACAAGAAAAGGAAAATATCTGCATTTATCATTCTACAGTGTTACACTGGGGAGAAAATAACAGCAGAAAAGACTGCTGTGGTTTCAGCACACCGAGGAGACTAGGCGATTGTTTTGAAGAAAAAAGAAAGTCAAGGCCATTGTCGTCAGTCATGCAGAAGGAACCACTAGGTTACTAGTGGCCCACTCCATAGAGAATACTAGAATCTTTTCCATAAGGTAATATTAGCAATTCAGACAAAGAAAACCTAAGAGAGACATTCAGCTGCTGCACATATAGATTTTTCCCTCAGGAAAAAGTAGCCATTTCTGAGCCATTTCCAGAGGCGTATTGCACGTCCTGACAGTGTCGTGCTCCAACCCCTGGTCCATTCTATTACTGGGCCACTAGCTTTGTTGTTACCCTACACTCATTCATATTTCACCCACTGGGATATCCCTGTCTAATGTGTACTCCACTCTACTCTAGTAGCTATACTAATTTATGGAGTAAATTAGTATAGCTACTAGAAATAGAAAGGCCCAGTCAAAACCCCAGAGTTGTGAGACTTTGTACAGAAGCACTCCTGGCCTCCTCCTCCTCCTCCTCCTCCTCCTCCTCCTCCTCACAATCTCCTGTGTCCCCAACAACTGCACCACACTACTGTCACACAAGTCCTATTACAGTATCTTTTCTCCTGGTCCCTGGGTTTTAAGTCTTAGCTAAGTAGTTACTCTATAGATGCCTCCCTACAGACATTGAAGCCACCAATGTGATATGTGTGAATATCAGTAGAAAGATGCAGATAAATTCAGGACACTTAGAGAGGAAGTCATTAAACACTTTTTTGTTGAGGAATAAATGACTTGAAAGAAAGTTGAAGAATATTTGTTTTATGTCTAACTTGTTAAGAAAAGTAAATGTCATGCTGTTTGAAGGACAAAGGTGGTTAAATCAAAACTAGACACCAAGTTTGAAGAGTCAATTAAATTATAATCTGTCACTTAATGAAAGGAATAAATTCTTTAAAAGCAGTGATGGGCTATTTCATACTGTGTAAAATCACAAAGTGTGAAAACCTCCAAGTCATAGCCTATAATAGGTATCCAGAATACATATTACATGCATACAGTACTTCAGTAAATACAATGTTTAATAGTCATCTGACCACATTAGTTGAGAATTGGTTATATAGTCTTAGCCCCAAATAACTGGTCTGAGCTGGTCTTTATTTGAGAGGGTCTACCACCGATTCTTTCAGATTGTCATAACTTGAGGCCAACTTTTCATTTTGCCTTTGGGATTGACTTGCTCAATAAATGTTTGTTGTATGTAAACTTTTTCCTCCATTTTTGCCATGATAACATTGCAGGTTAATCAGAAAAACTGGACAAAGAGACTTCCAATGGTAGCAAAAGGACTGGACTGTGATTGTAATTTTCTCACACTGGTCTGGACTAAGTATTATGGGGTCTGAGCCCTCCTTATGGACACCTATCTCTAATCTAAGCATTAGTTACTGAATCCACACCAGTTTCTCTGGTTGTTAAAGTCATGAAGATTTTAATGAATCACACTGAACATGAAAAGTAAAAACATTTATATGATCACAATGGAAATAATGGTGTGAGCTGTATTACACAAAGGAAACAAAATAAATCCCAATGAACTATTCATGAAACCAAATCAAAGATGCTCTATGCATGACTTTAATCTGGATGACACTATAAGCTGATAGGATTTGTCAGAGAAAGCTCCCTTCAACTACACTGTTCTCATGCCACTCACAACTACAGTCCCTTTCTATGTGCATGTAGAAAGAGAAGACAGTGAGACTGTAGATAGCAAAAATCTACATACTTCAAACTTGCAAAGCTTTTTAGGACAACACTCTCCTTTATATTCCATTGAACTCATTTCCCCCCCCCCCAAATTCTATGTCAATACAAGGAATATTGGTTACCCAAATATGCCTGTTTATAACTAATCAATGAACATTACTTTAGACAATTATGAAGTTCTGGGAATATTGAGAAATAGACAAGTACTTACCTGCAACAAAACAAAACAAACATGAAATCCTGACATTGTGACTGAGAAAGAAAATTGAATTCAATAGAGAATCATTCCCGACACAACCTATGCTATCAGCTAAGGAAATTAAGTATCCTCATATTTGTTAAGTAAGGAACATTTAGCTTTTCTTTTTCTCTTTTTGAGGAAAGGGAAGTATGGTAGTTTGTAAGAATAGGCTCAAAAAAAAAAAAGACTTAAATATCTGAATGCTTAGAGAGTGGCCCTCTAATTTGAAAGGATTCTCCTTCATGGAGTAAGTGAAGCCTTGTTTGGATGGGTTTGGCATTGTGGGGGACTGTGCCACTGGGGGTGGGCTTTGAGGTTTTTCAGTTCCCAAGCCAGGCTCAAAAGCTCTCTTTCTTCTTGCTGCCTTTGGATCTGGATGTAGAATTCTCAGCTACCATGTTTGCCTGATGCTATCTATGCTCCCTGCCATGAGGATAATTGTATCTCGAGTTTTCTTGCCTTGCCCACAGTCAGGACAAATCTCTGTCACCCACCAGTCCCACAGCTACTCAGACCCAACCAAGTAAACACAGAGACTTATATTGCTTACAAACTGTATGGCTGTGGCAGGCTTCTTGCTAACTGTTCATATAGCTTAAATTAATCCATTTCCATAAATCTATACCTTGCCACATGGATCGTGGCTTACCGGCATCCTCACATGCTGTTTGTCATGGCGGTGGCTGGCAGTGACTCCTTCCGCCTTCCTGTTCTCTCTTTTTTCCTCTCTGTTAGTCCTGCCCATACTTCCTGCCTAGCCTCTGGCCAATCAGTGTTTTATTTATTGACCAATCAGAGCAACAGATTTGACATACAGACCATCCCATAGCAGATAATGGACTCTGAATCTGTAATCTCTGAATCCGTAAACCAAGCCTCAATTAAATGTTTTCTTTTTATGAGAGTTGCCTTGGTCATAGTGTCACTTCACTGCAATAGAACATGGAATAATACAGGAAACCTTGAAAAACAAGAGCGAGTTGAGTCATTTTCTTCTGAGTGTTCACATTGTAAAGGCAGTTGAGCCCAACTGAAGGAAGTCTTGAAATATGCTAATGGGCCATGAAAATGCTACTTCCAGGTTGATCACAACAGTGCCCTTATGTTAAGTGAATAAACTAGAAAATGTGTTTATAATCTATATTTTGTCTATATTTTTATACTAGCTACATTTTTCATTTAGAATGTAATTTGCAATTAAGTGTGGATATGTGACAAGATTTTCTTAAGTGTTCAGAGCTCAAAAAAGGAATATGAAATAGACCCTATCCTTAAAGAATTTCTTCTTTAGAGCCATTTTCTTATCTTGGCTCAGTATCAGCTCTTACTTGTAGATGAACTGTCTTGTCTTCTCTCTGTCTCTATCTCTTTGTTTCTTGGTATGTTTTTCTGTGTGTCTTTTTGTGTGTGTCTCTCTCTGTCTCTGTTTGTCTGTCACTCTGATCAACTATCCACATTTCCAAGGATGGTTTTCTAAGGTATTAATCTAAAGTTATTTAGTGTTTTTGCATAGCATAGTGGGTAAAACTTTAGGTTCTTTAAGATGACATAATTTTTTCTTAATATTTTGAATATTTCATAGCCATTCAACATGTTCCAAAGCCATACCAAGCTATTAATTATTTTTAATAAATCTAACTCACCTCTTCATTTTCTGCCATTTATGGGGCTTAGGAATGGGCAAGAGCATCATAGGTTTATGTTTCAAGCTTTGGTTGATTAAAAGTGCAGGTGATCACTTGATGGTGTGGAGCCTTGAAGGTCACATTCAGTGCCTGACCTTCAGTTTGACAGCAATGTTGTGCTGATGACAGCTTTATGTCTGTTTTATCCAACTTGCTGTGCCAACTCACTTAAAAGGCTGTGTCAAGACTAGCAGAAATTAAATCATGGTTTGTAGGCAAGTAGAAAAAGGATTCAAGAGCATGATATGATGAAAAAGATACACAGAAGTGTATCCTGTCTCTGTATGCTTATAAAAACAGTAAACCTACCAATGGCAGCAATGGTAGACATTTGGCATTGAATGTCCAATGGTAACAATAGTAAATATACTTGTTTGGGAATCATGGAGCTTGCTTGGATGCACTGGTCTCTTGTTCTTCCAACTTCTTCCATCTGAGCTACTAGTCTAATGGAGGGTACACCAACATTCAGAGGACTTTCCCCCTTCAGTTATTCTACCACATGTCAATCATCTTTGCAAATATCTCCCAAACCCATTCAGTGTTGAAGGTCACTAGTCTGAGGCATCCCCCAAACCAGTCAAGATGACAAGACTATCATAGAGTCATTCAAGGTGTATCTCAGAAAGTAATTATGGGGCTGTGGCCCCATCTTCACTCTTATTTTTCTTCTTGACTCCCTCACATGCCCCTCTCAAGGTATTCTGCTTCCCCAGGGGCCCAAAGCAAAAGGACTGATTTATGCCTGAAATGGTGAGGCAAGATAATACTGTTCCCTTCACAAGTTTTATCTCAAGTGTTTCATTGTAGCAGCAGAAAGTTAAAGCACTGTGACATATCATTTTCCCATTGTAAAAATAAATGGAAAGCCTGAATAGAGAGCTGGTATAAAACATTGTTCTTTATACATTTTATTTTATCAATTACTGGTCAGATACTATGGGAGACCAAACAAAAATATTTTATGCTTCATTTTCTGGTACCATTTATTTTACTAATATCTGGGATAACAACATAAAATTGAAACAAATACTATAAATGTTTTCCTGTAAGTTTAAATATTAGGACTTTAAAATCATTGCATTCAGGAGAAAAAGACTAACTTTTAAGATAAATATTCAATTTTTATGTTTACATACATCTTAAATTTGCTGGAGGAAGATTTATTTTATTGTTTCTAATTTTCTCTCATGGTCCTCTCTGTTTCCTATATAAAACATATATGCTATACTCAAACTATGAATGATCCTATGTTTATATTTTAAATATCTGGGATGCAAAAACTTGGAATTTTGGTCCTGTTTTCAGGAAATAAAAGCTTTATGTGAGAGCAGAGACTGAGAAAGCAAGGAATATTTTGAGGGTAGAAACAAGTAAGCATGTGCAGAATGAAATGATCAATACAACAAAATATTTGATCCAGAAATATTTCACACATGAAATGTCAAGGGGACTGTGATGTTATACTCAAGTTTTAATGGTTCAAAAGCACATATTGAGAGCTTGATTTTGAAAGGCATACTTACTTTTACAAGTCAGATTATTGTATCATACAATTCATTATGGTATTTGGCTGCTTAAATCATGAATACTTCCAAGTAGAATGAGAAGTTTTGGGAGATGACTCAGTATTCCATCTATCTCTATTAATAGTGTCACTGCTTCACAGACAGCCTGACCTTGTTATCCCAAGCTGGTTATGGTGCCAGCTGCTTTGTAAATCATAAACTCAGGGCCTCAAATGAAGGCTCTGTTCTCAAATTGGAGAATTACGTCCTGTTCTACTTTTCATGAAGATTCACTTCATCTACCTTCCCAAACATAAAGTAATAATCCATCTCAAAGTAATAAGAAGCTGAATTAAAAGAGATTCCTCAATTTAAAATTTATATTATTATTAATTAAGTAATAATAAAGTATATGTACTTTAAATTGCATTTATATTGTAGTTCCATAACTGATAGTTTATAAAAATTAAAATATGCTGTTCTATTAATTGAGTCATTAGATATTATGTACAGTAATCTTTAATTCATGCTTATCATAAAATGCGCACTCTGAGCCGGGCGGTGGTGGCGCACGCCTTTAATCCCAGCACTCGGGAGGCAGAGCCAGGCGGATCTCTGTGAGTTCGAGGCCAGCCTGGGCTACCAAGCGAGTTCCAGGAAAGGCGCAAAGCTACACAGAGAAACCCTGTCTCGAAAAACTTAAAATAAAATAAAATAAAATAAAATGTGCACTCTGTATAAAAGATGTAATTAAAACATTCTATTCTATGGCTCAAGAAGAAATAAACTTCTGTTTCAAATATCCAGCATTAAGACACAGGCAAATGAATATATAGTATAAAGTTTATGTGACTGCTCATCAAGATAAATAAACTAGTCAGACCTAAGAATATTTTGAATTAATATTTTTGTTTCTGCAGTGTTTTTGCTAAATGGAAGTGAATTTCTCTTTTGGGTTTGAAGAAAGTGTCACTACCTATAGGGTTTAGGAAATGAAACTAGTATATTAACTCTCTTACAATGTCACAGGATAATAAAAATGACCTGTTCTCAGTATTTGCATTCACAACTTTGGATCTTCTTCACCCAAACAGCCATAAGAAAGAAGAAACAGAAAAATAATTATAAGTGTAAGAGATCATTAAAAGTATATATATATATATATGACTTTTCAATGTATTGGCATTTGGCAGTATTAATTCCTTTTATCCTCTGAAGGAATAGAGATTTTAGTCCCAAAGATACTAATGAGATTCAAATATAGTCTTCTAAAATTTAAGTGTTGAAAATTTAATCTCTAAAATACAGATAGAGACAAGACCTTTAGAAGTTAATTAAGATTAAATGAGGTCATGGCAGTGGAACATGTGGTGGTATTTGTAGTTTTGTAAGAAGAGAAAAGAGACTTTTGAGCCGTCTCCCTGTGTGATGGCTACTACCATGATATGATGCAGCAAAAAGTCCTGGACCAGATGACAAGTGATGCTTGTAACATGTTTTTGGAATCCCCAACTTGCAGAGCCACTAGCTAAATAAACTTTAGTTTTTTATAAATGATCACATCTGTGTGTGACAGCACCATAAATGGACTACCATTGGTACAAAGCTGAAGATTCTCTTCTTGGGTAGCCATATAAGTAGGTGTGGCCATGGAAGCATTTCCTGTCCAAACAGGAAGCAATGTATGTGATTTCTGATATACGTATTTAAAGGAAACAAAACTTTTTCTTTCTCTGCTGTCAGTTTGTATAAGTAGGAAGATGATGGTAAGTTGAGACAGCTCCCCCAGAGTCTGTGCAAGAATCTACATGGATAGGGTGCCGAGCAATAAGACAGTAAGGGTCTGGGTCAGCTGACTTTGTGGGGTAGATTGTCTTAATGGACTATTCTCAAGTATCACCTCTTGCTGGGGTCATTGCTAATATTTCCAATTTTAGAACAGTCACAGAAAATAATACAACACAGAGTATAAATTAATGTAAGGAAAATACACAAAACTTAGCCTGGAAAAAGGGATGATTTTAGAATCTAAAGGAGTTGTCTGAATTGAACATATACATAGCAAATACACTATCCAAGAGAACTTTCTGTAATGGCAAATATATTTCTGTGGTGTAATTCAACAGCCAGAGACATGAACAGATATCCAGATGTTGAATAATAGATAATAGGTAATATTTGAGGATTTTAAGTTTCAGTAAAATTAGAAATAGTCAAAATGTAAATCAACACACATTATAAAGTGGCTTCCATACTGGGCTGCACACCTAGAATAATACATGTATTCATTGTTTTGTAATAAAATCCATAAATTATCCTTGCTAACCACAGAAATGATAGTAATTAAAATACTTCTCAGAGAAAATGGCTAAAATATGTATATTTGCTAGTTACAAGACTTCATTTCTTTAGTATGTACCACACTTAAATTTTGGACATTAAAATTTCCCAGAGTGTGTATGTATGTTATGTGTACATATGTGTGTATGTGTGCACATGCACATATGTGTGAATTTGAATACAAAATAGGAGGACTTTTCTATGTGTTGTAGTTGTGTATCAGCTGACTCCAATCACTTTAGGCCACAGGCAGACACCAACACAGACAGTCTAGACACACAATGTTCTCCTCATGGCTGAGGCTTTTGTTCAGTGTCTGCTTCTAAAAATTTTTTTCACAGGGTCTCTGTCATATGTCAAATGCACTTGCTTAAAGAATCATCTCTTATCTATCTATCATCTATCCATCTTACTATCATCTATCTTCCATTTATCATTTGTCTGCCTATCTATTATCTATCTATCTATCTATCTATCTATCTATCTATCTATCTATCTATCTATCTATCTACCTATCTATCATCTGTCTATCTATCTATCTATCTATTTATCTATCTATCTATCTACCTATCTATCATCTGTCTATCTATCTATCTATCTATCTATCTATCTATCTATCATCTATCATCTATCTATCTCTCTAAACATTTAGAAAAGCGACAGGGTGAAGTATTCAGTCCTTTTGATTATTTTTCTCTGCAGTCTCAAATGATTCTTGCTGGCTTACTGTAAATTAAGTAGAAGAGGTAGTTTAAGATAAGGAGATAGGGAAAATTTCCTATGTTATTACAGTTTTGAGAAAGGATGAGAAAGGATCCTTCCTGCCTGAATCTGGACATTTGACTTTTGATATTGGCCAAGTCTCTTAAGCAGGCTAAAGAAAATAAGGAATTGAGAGACATGACCAAAGGCAAGGTTCCTAAATGATTCTAATTCAGAAGCATCTAAGAATCATATGCTTTCAATCCTCTTGAGGATCATAGAATCTCATTTTATTTTCTTATTTTTAAATAATGACATTTACATCCTTCCAGTCATTGAGAATGCCTCTACATGTATAACAGTTAAAAATTAAATGGAGAGTGAATTTAAAAATAGTTTCTAAAATCTACCAACTCCTGAATTTGCACAATTATGAAGGGTTTTTTTTTGGTTCTGTCTAAATGTACAACTCTGTGTCACATATTTTTCCAGGATCATACACAAAGAAACTGAGATCAGAGCTGTGCTCAGACAGCATGACCCAAGGAGCTGAAGACCCACCAGGCAACAGAAGGCTCGGGTAGGAGGGAGGAAGGTGGCGAGAAGCAGGGAGGGAGGTACTAGTAAACGAAGACAGGAATGCCTCTTTTTTTTGTAATGTTTATTCAAGACCAAGTTAAAGAGAAGTCTTTCCTGATGAGATGGCTCTGCATTCCAGGCATTCAGAGGCCTGAAATAGACAGCCGGGAACATGTCAGACAAGGTCCGATGTGGGCTCTGAAGTCAGAGATTTTTATTAACTAAACTCCTGGGAGACTGGGAATACCTCAACCTCTGAGATTGGCAACCACAATTTGTTGAGACTTGTGGAGACTCCTGATTAAACAGACGAGGAATGAGGAGCACTTGGAATGGGAAATTGCTTATCAGAAGCAAGCAGAAGATTGGGCACAGGAGACAGAAGGCTTGTCTACACAGCCTGGCACAGACCCTGGCAGGCCAACTACACCTGGGAACAGAACAGCAGCTCTTCACGAGGTAGAAGTCTTGGTGTCAGTGACTTTAGTCTTCATCTTTTACAGTTGCCTGAGGAGGGCTTGCTTTTCATTTTCTAGGAAAATAAATCAGCTTTGCATCATAAAAATGGGGGGGGGACGGGGGAGGATAAAAGAAAGGGGAGGGGTGAAAAATAAGAGCAGAAAGGGACAGAAGGAAAATCAAAGAATGGGGGAAGAGAAGGAAAGGGAAAAGGAAGAACCAGAGAAAGAAAAAGGAAAAGTGGAAAAAAGAAAGAATGAAAGAAACAAGATGGAATTTTAAAACTTTTTTCAAGTCCAGTCACTGTTACATGATAGAAACAGGAACTAAAACTGAAAAATCCTCTTCCTCCTAAACTTGCAGTATGTTTAATTGCCCTAGTTTTATATTAATTCTTTTTTTATCAGAAATTGTAGGCATCTTGAGCTCACGGTATTCACACCCTAGTCTTCTTGGTGCTGGATTTTAAATGTACACCATCATGCCTGGATACTGTAGTGTTTTAGTGTTTGGTTTTTACCTGTCCCTTTTTTAATAGAAAAAAAAAATCTTGCTTTAGTTCTGACAACTTTGGCCTGAAGGATTACAATATTCTTGTAATAGAATTAACTGTGTTCCTATGTCCAGTTGGCTTCATTTTCAGTTCTAAACATTTCATTTATAATACACAGTACAAATAGAGTAAATGTACAGAAAAAGTAGTGCATCTTGCATATCACAAACAAATATCCACATAACCAACTCGCATGTCTGTCAATAGAGTGCTGATGACAACTGTCTCCTCCCTTGAAAACAAAAACAAAAAGGCTGCTTTTGTATATGACAGAATGATCACACCTATACTCTTTGGTAATTATACAATATAAATCAATAAAATTTTTAATTATTTTTGAAGTTCATCAAGTTTGAACAACATGAATATCTCCTTTGCTGTTTGTTATCTATGTGTGGGCCAGTAGCATAGTAGCCTGTATAATATAGTACTGAATTCTAAAAACAGACCACAGAATGATATCTTTCCTGTTGTCGTTGATAGTCATATTACTTTGTTTTTGTTTTTGTTTTTCAAGACAGGGATTCTCTGTGTAGCTTTGCGCCTGTCTTGGAACTCACTCTGTAGCAGCCCAGGCTGGCCTTGATCTCACAGAGATCCACCTGCCTCTGCCTCTCGAGTGCTGGGATTAAAGGTATGCACAACCGCCACCTGGCATCATATCACTTCTTCTTGATCGTCTTAAGTATGCTGTTTTGAAAGTGTTTGCAAATAGCTTTTGGTGCCCAACACTGAAGCCCTTTTCAATATATACCTGGAAGTTGGAGTGTTAGGCCACAGTGTGTTAGAATAATGACTCATTGGAGACTGGGTCATGAAGTTTCCTGAGGTTCCCCTGTTTTGTGCTCCTGTACCATAGTCCCTGGACAGTACTTGTAATTCTGGCCATTTTGGTAAGTATGCTCTGATACATCATTAATTTATATATGTTATAAATTTACTGTCATAATGCAGGAAGTGTCTACTGTATATATATATGTGTGTGTGTGTGTGTGTGTGTGTGTGTGTGTGTGTGTGTGTGTATAATAGCAGTCAGATGCAAAAATTCCTCAATTTAATTGTAATATAATTTTTCAATTGATTCTAATTAAGAAATATTATATCATATTTTTTAAAAAATTACTTCCTAATTAAAATCCTAAAGAGAGTTGGCTGTATATGTATCATAGATGTATTGGAATTTTTCCAAATTGTCATTTTTGTGTGTGTATGATATAAAGTGGCATTCAAATTTCATTTTATTCACATTGATACACATTCAACAACAGCATCTGTTACTAAAGGTATAATTCATTCTCTATTGCTATGCAAACACCTTGATGAAATTCAAATGCTCATGGTATGGTTTGTCAATATCTCTGCTGGTTTTGTTTATTTTTGCAGTCCTGAGGGTGAAACTCAATACATGAAGCATGCTAGGTAAGCATTCTATCACCGAGTTATATCCTCAAACCCTCATGATACTTTGCCAATACTGTCCACTTTTTATGTTTTCACTGATTTTTATTTGCTTGTCTCTCAGTTAAGAGCCTTATGAAAATCCATTCATCTATAAACAACCTATTTCTTTTCATACTTTTGTTAGTTTTTATGATTTTGTTTGTGTGTATGTGTACATCTATGGATACAACTATGGACATATTTGCCTCCTGTAAGGAAGGCGTACATGTAAGAGGCCATGCATGTTTTGTAAGATATATTAGAGATGAGGCACTAAGAACCTTATTAGGGAGTAAGTGTTATTATTTTTTAAAATTATAACATTATCCTATGCAAACATCCTAAGAAATCCATATCAAGATAAGTAAATGTGATGCTGAAGGTTATCAAAGGGGAGGGGATCCTTTCAAGCAAGTGGAGATAAAAACCACATCACTGACAAAGAGTCCTGCATCTCTAGATTTCTTATATAGAAAAAGAAAATCAGAACATTTTATAACCATATCCTCAAAGCAGAATTGGAAAGACAAAATATGAATTTATAGTTGTGTCGCAGGAATAAGCTGTAAGTCCCCTCCACACCAATTTATATAGTTGACATAAGTGTCTGCAAACCCATCAGCAAGGAATGTGTTCCCCTTTCCCCACACCCTTGCCCCCATGTGTTGTCATTTGTTTTGTTGATCTTGGTCATTTTTTTTTTTTTTTGGTTTTTCAAGACAGGGTTTCTCTGTGGATCTTGGTCATTTTAACTGGAGTAAGAGGAAATATCAAAGTGATTTTTATTTCATTTACTTTCCCTAATGGTTTAAAGATGTTGAACATTTCCTTAAGTGTTTCCCAGCCATCTGTGTTTTATATTTTGAAAGTTCTCTCTTTAGTTCTGTACCTCATTTTTTAAATTGGGTCATTTGGATTTTTAATAGTCAGATTAAAATATTTTTATGTATTCTAGATACTAATCCTCTATACAATGTGTAATTTCTAAATATTTTCCATTCTGTAGGCTGCTACTTTTCTAAAATAATGATTTCCTTTGCTATACGGAAGCTTTACAGCTTCATAATGCCCCATTAATTAATTGGTGTTCTTAGTGCCTGTGAAGTTGGTGTCATGTTCAGAATGTCCTTTTCTGTGTCAATAAGTTCGAGTCTACTCCTCACTTTTCCTTCTATCATCAGATTCAGGGTATCTTGACTTACATTCAGGTCCTTGATCCAATTGGAGCTGAGTTCTATGTAGGGTGGTAGATATGAATCTGTTTTAATTCTATACACAGCCTCTCAGGAAATTAAGACTTGATCTACACCAAGATTCAACTACACCACTCTTAGGAATATGCTCACAGAACTCTACTTTCTTTTATCCAAGACAGGGTTTCTCTGTGTAGCTTTGCACCTTTCCTGGAACTCACTCAGTAGCCAAGGCTGGCCTTGAACTCACAGAGATCCACCTGCCTCTGCCTCCTGAGTGCTGGGATTAAAGGCATGCACTATCACTGCCCAGGAGAACTCTACTTCTTATTACAGTTCATCCATGTTCATTTCTATATTACTCATAATAGCTAGAAATCGGAAACTACCTAACTATCCATCAACCGACAATGGAATGGATAATGGGAATGTAGCACACTTATAAAATAGAATATTATTCAATTGTTAAGAAAAATGAAATTTGGAGATAAATGGATGGATCTAGAATAACCTGAGTTAGGCAAGCCAGATCCATAAAGACACATATTGTATGTTTGTTTTTCTGTGTAGATTTTAACTTTTACATTTTTGTTATGTATGTTACAATCCAAATAACCACAGAGTTTATCTGTCTAGTAAGGGGCCAATAGAGAGAAGAAGATCTTCCAAGGAAAGGGAAATAGAATACAGTGTTATGGAGAAGTAAAGGGATAGATAGAATATGAGAATTAAATGGGCAGAGGCATGGGAGAACAGAGTCAAGGAAGGGATATGGGGAAGGACAATTATTACAAATGACCTTTTGAAAACTCATATGTAAACTCACAGCTATAAAGATTCCCAAAATAAATATATATATGAAAGGAATTTCAATAATGTAACCGTATAATCATAGAGACAGCCAAAATAGACAGCTTATGCACCCCCTAAGTAAAACCTCCAATGCCAGGAATAGGTTACATATTGTTTAGTTTCTGGCCCAAAGGGTTCCAAATCTCACAGGCTATTCCAGTACTATTGGTTTTTCTCTACAACATGATGGTAAGACCCTATTACTGAGAACAATACTGACTGATATCTGGTGTCCATCTAGAAGTTTCACTTCTACTGATTAGCATTCATACTGCTGGAAGGTAATCTACGTGCAGCTGGAAAAGAAAGATAATCATTAATTTCATCCAGCTACAAATCCTGCAACATGCAAGAGTGGCCTGACTGAAAAATATACTGATCCAATAATGGCACAAATGTGTGGTGGTATTGTGTTCCCCCAAATATTGTGCACTCTAATAAACTTATCTGGGATCAGAGAATAGAACAGCCACAATATTAAACACAGAGGTTAGACAGTGGTAGCACATGCCTTTAATCCTAGCATTCCAAAAGTAGAGGTCCTTGAGAACCTCTGTGAGTTCAGGGTCACACTGGAAACAGCCAGGAATGGTGACTCACACTGTTAATCCCTGGAAGGATGGCTGGAAGCAGAAAGTTATATAAGTCATGAAAAACAGGAACTAGCCTGGTTAAGCTTTTAGGCTTTTGAACAGCACAGTTCAGCTGAGATTCATTCTGGGTGAGGACTCAGAGGCTTCCAGTCTGAGGAAACAGGATCATCTGAGGAATTGGCAAGGTGAGGTGTCTGTGGCTTGTTCTGCTTCTCTGATCTTCCAGCGTTCACCCCGATACCTGGCATCAGGTTTGATGTCATTAATAAGACCTGTTAAGATTCATGCTACACAAATGTAATGAGGACAACCAACCATTTTTTGATTGGATTTAAGGTACAGCCCATGAGACAGAACCCATACCTGACACTTGAAGTTACCAAGAGTCTGAAACCAAGTAGGCATGGCCAAGGGGAAATTCTACTACTATTTTTCTGATAAAGGAATAGCAATAATATGG